AAGATTCTCGACACCTACATTCTACTTTCATTAATAACTGACGACCAATTTACGTACCACCTGCCTTTGGAGGCATCACCCAGGATCGAACAGGTATGGCTCTCGCACACGAATATGAATGTATTTTTACGAAACAGGGCCGGCAGCAAAGAAAAAAGGAAAAGAATCCGTCGAAAACGCTTAGGTTGCTCACTCACCTTCCTAATCGGCTGTGCTAAGGGAATGAGAGACTAAGCGCGGAGAGGAGAGTATGAGGCGAGAGAGCGCAACAGATGAGAGGGCGCCAGACAACAGCCTGATAAAGAAAAAATTGCAGCTGCTGCAGCTCACTTTGCAAGGCCCTAGCGCTCTTGTCGGACGATTTTCCGTGCAATGCAACATTTGTGTTAGTCCTCCAGTGGCCTAACCTACAGGATTTCACTTGACTTCTGCCTGGGTTGTGCCCATGAGGCATTTCAAGGCGTGCTGGCTTCCCAGAAGTTTTCGAGAAGCCACCGAATGTTCAATTAAATGTTCTTGCTTCCCTTTTTTCTGCTCTCAGCTGATCATCAAAGATCATCAACGAGAGGGAGAAAGTATTGGTTCGATGAGCTCCCGTGCTTCTTTCTGTACTGCATCCGTGTTTTTCGTATCTTTTCACACCTTCTCGTAGAAAACAGAAACGACGTTCCCGAACAGCTGCTTTTGATCCAATCTACATTACCGAAAGTTACACAAACCATTGAATGTATTGGTTGCCGTTGACGAATGCTTGCTGGGAAACTTCGTGGGATAAAGCCAAGTCTCAGCACCGAATCATGACTTGTAAAAATGGCTTTCCAACGCGAAAACTAATAAAATGGCTTTTTTACTGAATGGTTAGTGGCTAAATATTGATCGTACTGATTTTCTATGACAGAGATTTATTTGACATATTTGACATAGATTTATTAACAAATGTTAATGTAAGACGCCTTCGATTTGAGGCTAAGCAAGAGACCAAACCTTTTTTGGCTTGCCGATTTGTATTGCTCTTCAGGCAGAACAAATCTTTAAGAGTATATGAGGTGATTAGCGAGAAAGACCTCAGAGTTAGAAAGTCTCGAATCGATGCATAAAAGATGGCGCGTCAAGGGCTCGATTAGCTCGAGCACAAGCGGAGCTGATTTGGCCGTTGAGTTTAGACGGACCGCAACTGAACACTCCGATCTCGGGCACCTAAACAAGGTAGTTTGACGAAATAACCTGAGTAAAATCTGTGTTAACGAACTTATCAGAACATTATTGGCTATAAGGTAATGTGCTTACCTCGCTATGAACATTTTGAATGAAGGAGAAGAAGGTGTCAAAGTTAGGACGACCAAAATGGTTTTGTGCTCGAAGACCGGTGAACATCGACTTGCCTTGATGATCGCCACGGAAGTGCTTTTCGCAAATGTACTGGAAACGCAAGTGTCTCAGGAATTAGACCCCAACACGACATAACGGCATAGGGAAAAGAGTATTGTTTTGGTTAATCACTTTCTGGGATGCGCCATGCGCTAAGCTCCTACCCTGAGTCGCGGTAGTATTTCAATGCTATTTGGCCAGCTATTACCTGCGGGGCTTATCAGTTTTTCAATTTCTTACGGTATTTTGGTCTGCTAATGAATAAGACGGTTTTTTGTCTTCTCAAACAATTACGGTTTTGATTAAGAGGCTTCGAAGGAAGGAAGACGTGGTTGGCCTGGGGGAGCTCAATCCAGAATTAACCTCTCTAAAGCACGTCTGGCAAGTGGCGCCATTTGCCACCAGAACATCCGCGCCGGGCCTAACACAAGCCAGATCTTCATTCTATACAATAAGAATAGCACGTTGAGTAGAACTATCGGTAAGACCATAAAAGTGAATCCTGAAGAACTTGCGCAATCACACTAGCATGGTGGTCCTTAGATCGAACTTATGGAAGAATTGTGTGACAAAAATGTGCGTCTCCAGAAGCTTGTTCTGATCCAGTTCTTCGACGCCCTTCAACACATCGACGAACCATTCGTAGTTTTTGTGTGTAGGACAAACCCAGAGGAAATAGACCTGAAAATTATAATTCTTCACTTAAAGGAATCTTCCACGGATTGAATTAATGAGTAATTCCACTCAATGTGCAAGTCACTGGCTACCAGGTAGTGGACCGCCAGTGCAGAAAAGAGAAAAAAAAATCGTGAAATGCTTAGGAAATACGAGCCATTTCCTCTACGGTGCGGAGAAGTTCAAAAGGCCGGCAGGGAGATGAGAGATAATGTGAGCGCGGAGAGCGCTAGAGAAGTCTAAGTAGAGAGAGCATAGCAGATCAACATTCCGACGCAGACAAGATATCGAGCGGTGGGCGGAGCGTGTCGCAGCAGGTGGAGCGTGTCAACCAACCCACACACACCAGCTTCCTTCTAGGCGCCCTCAGCCCCGCTACCATAATCCAAACAGTTTTCGACAAAGTCATGGAAGTGACACACCAGCCAAGACACCCACTCACAACCCACCTATAACGTAACACACCCCTAGCGTTTCGAGCCAACTGCTCACCCAAGACAGCCTCAATAGTGGGTGCTGTGCCTAACTTTGTCTGTAGGTCGAAACCGCTCGCTCACTCTAATGTGCCAGTACCGGGTGAAATTTTTCAAAAAAAGGTACACCACCCTAGCATCAAGCTACCACCAATCAGCAAACGTGGCCGGAACAAGGAGAGAATCAGCGGCCGACTAGGGATACTGTGAATTAAACCCGGTTAGCGGCACCCACACGGCCGGTGGATGAAATTCTGGTTGCACACAACACAGCTCCAACCACACACAGACACCAACTAAACGAGCAGTACGCAAGCTAAGATACCAGACCCTACAAGTAGATTCGTCATATCAACGTTAAACCTGCGGTAGTACTGCATCACTGATATTGCCACATCGCGAGCCATCAATACCCTACAAAATTTATCAGCATAAACGCCCAAACCCTAAGGAATATCCATCTCTAGGGGAACACACACTGGATATCGTGCAGGGAAGCTAGTACGCAAAACCTGACCTTCTTGCACTTGACGTTGTGATGTTTAGCTGACGCAGTTTCCAACACCAGATCAGTCAATGTAGACGCGTAGGGAGTGACACCGATTCCACCTCCGACTAACACAGCCACTTCGTAGTTGGTCCATTCCTAAATCAACATGGTATTTTTTGAAGCTTATTGAAAGACGAGCGGACGTAGTCTGGTGATAGACCCTAGGAGCACCGAAGCCTCACCATGCCGCCCACCGCAGATCGGGCGATCAAAATATTCGCGGGTCGTTTCGTGCACACCAACGAAGTGGTGGATGAACTATACCAGTAGCTGGTAGTATGAACACTCTTTCCATAAGGCTGCGCCCCAAATTCATTGTATAGCCCGATCTCATATCAAAGATGCCGGGAATAATCAACCGTTGGCACATACCGAAATTGGCAGATACCGAATCAGGGTCATAGCCATTCAATTTTATCCGGTCATGGTTTCCCAGGAAAACGCTCAGCAGAAGATTAGAAGATGACCGAAGACAACCGACTCATTTCACTTCGAATTTATGTGAGAAGAACCTGCGCAGAAAATATGACAAATTCAGTTGGGGGGGGGGCGGAAACGGGAGAGAGGCCGGGGGGACTCTCAGCTCGTCCGAAAGCTGAGTGTATGAGATTTAGAAGATACCTAAAAATGAAAAGGAAGACTGAGGGGGGTAAACATCGACGCGGCTCTATGGACCGAGCTCATGTTGTGCCTGGACCCAAATCGAAGGCCTCTACGATTCCATATAGAAGCGAATGCATGGCGCGATGGCATGAAGCTCGCGTTCCTTCTTAACATTTTTCGGTAACTATCATGTACTTGCATATACGAGCTCAACTAGTATCTTTCAAAACTCACTTATAAATAAGACACTCGGATAACCTAGGGAGCCATCATCTTTTCCTCAGGTGCACTTTCTGGGGAACAATTGTTTCCCTTGATATTCATGGAAACCGCCCACTATTTATCTTTGATGCAATAAAGGTTTTCTTCGCTGCATTGCTGTACTGCATACGTGAGCGGTGAGAAGTCATTCCGTTCTCCATGTGATAGAAATGGTTACTTCAACTTACCTAGGTACACATGAAAATAAAACGCAGCACAGCTGGCTGGTTTACTTGTGATGGACGTTAAGTTATAGCTGGTCCAATCATTGAACGATCAGTCCTGATGGCATTTTTTGAATGTTTTCACGTGTCACATGACTCTGAGAAAATGCGGACCGGAAATCTTGTGGGGTTCTTTCCAGCGACTTGTGACAGTAAATAATGGGGCACTCATGACCTAAGGGAGTGCGAGGGGGGGGGGAGACATTCAAAACAGAGCATTCAAAAACCGCTGGGGCTGGGACTAACCGCAGGAAAGCGAAGAACTAAGGTTGCTCACATCCTCGCCCAGAATCCGTTTCCCTCCCTGGAACTCAGTCCCAAGCTTTGAAAATGGCTCACTCACTTCAATGTCCCCCCCCCCTCCAAGACATGAGCGCCAATAATGGAATAGAAGTCTTCTTTTTTTGAATTTAACGGATTTCTTGGTCAATCGTCGTTCTCGTTTATTTAAACTAAAAATGTCTTAAAGAGTATCAAAAAGAAAGGACAAAGTATTGAGAATTCCTATTTCGGGATGAGCCACGCATTTCATTCCATTCAAACTTATAGTGGTATTTGAATGCAGTCCAGACGTACAATGAGTCAGCGGCGCTTGCTTTCAAGTTGAGATTGATCGCGTTTCATTCTCGCTGAACTTTAGACATTGTCGCTCCTCCCGTGGCACTTCCCATGAGGCTGCCCGGTCCAAGGGAGCAGAGCTGCTACAATTTACTGAGCAAAACACGAGTTGTGGGGGTTAACTGATGTTGAAACCAGTAAGTTTAATCTGCAGAGTAACTCTAGTACCGATTTGTCGTCCCTGTTGAGAAGAAAGGCTTAGATAGCCTAAGTGGGATTTGAACTGAACTGACTGGAATGATTTGAACGCGATTTGAACTTCGCACCGTGCGCACGATAAGCAGCACCACTAAGCCCTATGCCACCTCCGCCCCACCCCCCCCCCCTGTAATGTGTCGGTTAGAACTCGCATCTGTCAAGTACTATGACACCTACCAGCAGAGAATGGGAATTCTCCTTGCATGAATGGCAAAAGTCCTAAACTGTGAATTAAAAGGCATTCAATTGTATTTTTCGATACCTGATTTCCGTCTCCATAAGGACCTCTCATGTGGAGAAGTGGATAAGGTGAGATGCCAGCTTGAGTGCGAAGAATCTGTGATCTCAGTTTCCATGTCCACCACGGACCAACTGCCTGTATTCGGAAGGAATGAGACTAATTTTGAATTGAGTCCATATTTGAATTTTACTTCTAGGTTACCAAATATGTCTTATGTAGTGCCTAGAGTGAGTCATCGAGGATTCCCCGACAAAGAATCGTATTTGGTGACAATTGCATTTTTCTAGAAGTGAATAGCCATTTTAATCAAGGAGAGACGAAGCCTGCGTAGGTTAATTTTAGATTAAGTGTGAAATTTGCTATTTCAACGTTAGGTTTCTCTTACACTCGTGAAATCCGTCGCGTTTCTGAGGGCTAGGGGAGCAAGAAGGGGAATGAAGCGAAATTGTTATTTTAGGGATCCTAGAAGTTGTGAGAAACTGGGAAAATAGGCTGTTTAACCATAAGAAGGGTCCGCCAAATTTCTTAACGCTGAACTCTCCTTTGATGCCAGCTGTCAATCTCAAAACAAACCTTGATGTAGAGTTCAACGGTTGGAGATTGAGGTGCTGAGGCGAGCGAGAAGGCATGCCATTCATTGAAAGTACTGGAGAACGTAGGCGACGAATATCTCTATAATGTATGCTATACGAAGTTATTACGACCATGGTCGCTTGAACTGTAGATATATGATATCTGCAAGGAGTAGGATTGCACACCCTAGTCGAAAAAGAATAATCAAGGACCTAAGGCATGAAAAGTGGATAATTTCCCGGAGCCCTACCAGGATGGTAGAAGTTCAGCATTGATGATGTTCAGTTCCTTTGTATTTCTGACGCATTCCCATGATTTGGTCGATAACAAAAATGACTATTGGACCAATGACGTAGTTCCAAAACTTTGGCGACTGAAAAATATTGATTCCATAATTACTAGTACTACTACTACTACTACTACGTAATTAGGTAAAAGAATGGAAAATAGCATGCGCTAATGGTGGGCGGAACATGCATCAGGGTGGGTGGGATTTTTCCACGTCTTCTGATGAACGAACGCAGATTTTTGCAGGTCAACATTGTGTGATGTGCTGTAAACTGTGCCGAGTGAGTGCCAGCTAGATGAGTAAGTTCTTTGCCCAGTTGATAACCGTAAGGAACCTGTGTGCTGAGAATAGCGCCTCCATAACTGCTTCGGGCAACAATTTAGCTCGATTTTCCTTTGAGCTAAACACGGCCGCTTGACATTCATCAAAGCAGAGTCTTGGCATCGTTTAGATGAACTGAAGTTTCCTTAGAAATAGTTGAGTGTCGGAATAGCTAAGCAGAGCGACATAAACCGCCCTTATGCACAAAAACCGCTAAGCAGAGGTTGTGCCGCTAGATTTCCAAAACATCTCACTGTATGCCACTCCCACTACCGTAACCCGTTGAAAGACGAGAATTCATTCAAGTCATATATTTGCTTTCGACATGAAGGTCGGAGAAGAGTAATTCACCTAGTTGTAGACCCGCGACCTCCTAAGGGTGTGGACTGAAGCGCAATGGCACGAAGGAGTTTGACCTCGGCGACCTATTAAGGCTCAATCTTGGCGCGGTGGTCAGTGCACGCCCACCGATCATCTGATCACTCGCCGCAGGTCTATACGTGGCGAGTGATTAGATAGGTGAGAGAGCGTAGTGTTGAAGAGGGCACAGCGATGAGAGTCGCATCAATGCTCAAATCAACGGGCAAGGAAGGGGTCCCATTTCTCGGGTTCTGGGCCGTTTCTCATGGTTTTTCCTTCTTTCGTGTACCACTCACCATCGCTAGGTTAATTTGAAATGGGTTGCCTTCGTGAATTCGTCCTTTAATGCTAGGCGTGCTTCGCCATCTGGAGATGGGACCTATATTTTCGTCATGCCTCCATTTTATCCGCATCATTACTGGCTGGCTCTTACATTCTCGCACGTCCTAACCACCGCGATGATACCAGTTCGAGCCCGAACTTCGTCACCGAAGCGGGCAAAACCTTGTTAGGACACTGCGGTCGACCCTCACAGCGATTCAAGTTCCCCTAAGGGCTTAACCTCTCCCTTTACAGTGAGCAACTTTCCCCTGCAACATCCCACTTGTCGTACTGATTGCCTTCTGAGGCGGAGTTTGCATAGCAATGAAAATGCAGCCCAACAGAATCAGGCAGAGGTAGAAGACAATGATACGAGTATGAGGAAAAGTGAGAGAACAGCCTAAACCCTATGAATAAGCCGCTTTTACGCCCACTGATTTTCGCCTTAGGTGTAATCTCATCTGTGCTGACGTAATGTAGCTGTGGACAACTCTGCGCAAAGCGGCATAATGATCGTGGCTACATCTGAGCCTTCACGGGCGGGAGCGTCCAGGCGCGTGATTCGCGCGAGTTCTTACGCCCCAGTGACACATCTAGGGGATATGCCACGCACGTGCATCGTCCCTTGCTTTGAGGACTGCCGTCCTATCAGTTAATACAGTTCCTTTAATTTGTTCGACCTGCTCCACCTTGTCTTGGAATCTGTTCTCGATAGAGAACAAAAAGGTGAAACAGCACTCAATCGAGTAATTCTTGTTAGTCCAATGCCAACATAAGCAGTGCGCTAAAAAGCGATGATTCAGCAGATGTGTCATCCTGAAGTGCCCAAATATAGGAAGAATGTGAACGTGACTCTATACACACCACCGAAAAGCATGATATGCCTCTTCATGAAGCTTTGACAGTCGAAACATAGCATAATTAATCAACCGACGAACAATTCGCGGTAGAGACCGTAACAGGCGGAGAACCAGTTACTATCGATGGTAAGGAAAGTTGCGATCTAGAAAACAGGAAGATCATAATCTTTGAAAATTCAGTTATAAAGAGATGAGTCAGGGTCACCTTGTACCCGACAGATTTGTTGAGAAGATGGTTTTTTTCTAAACTACAAACAAGGATTTCCATTTAAAGGCACAACCCAGGCAGAGGTTTTTTATAACTCTTCTCTTCGGTCAGAAGTATAGAACCCTAGGGGACAATCACAAATGTGGCGTTCACGTGCACGGAATTCGACCGACAAGAACGCTTTGGGCTTGCAAAGTAAGGCCTTCACGCAGCAACAGCTTCTCTTATTCAGGCGATTCTGCGTGCTCTTCATCTGATGCGCTCTCTCGCCCCATACTCTCCTCTTCGCGCTTAGTCTCTCGTTCCTTTAGCACAGCCAATTAGGAAGGTGAGTGAGCCCTCAACCTGAGCGTTTTCGACGGATTCTTTTCCTTTTTTCTTCACTGCCGGCCCACTTGGCACCGATACATTCACATTCGTGTGCAAGAGCCACACCAGTGCGATCCTGGGGCATGCCTTTAAACCAACATCAATCGATTTGAATGTGTATAGCCATTGATAATGAAATTATTAGTTTCGGGACTAATTGATAGGAGGACATTTCAGTTAATGAGAAAAGTTCCATTCATGTGACCACCTACGTGGCGGTATCAAAAAATTGTCTGGAAACATCCAGTGTTCGAGATCAAGGGCGCGTATTTGAAGGATTCGCGCTCCTAAGGCGCCTTTACTGAGAAGCTACTGTCGCGTCTTTGCATATTAGCGATTGATGTCTCTAGCGAAACTATCACATTATTTATCACGAAATTATGTAATAGGTTCAGTCTGAAGCAGTACCGTACCCTCTTTTGACGTGACAACCAATGACATGAATTGACTCATATGCTGAAAGAGGTTTAGCGGGACGTGAAGGATTACATAAAGAGGGACATTTAGGGAATATTTTGCTGATGAAACTTCCATCAACGACGGCAATCTCTGCGAAAAATGGGCCGAAGTGCAATCATGGACAAAATGTCTCTTTTTTTTTGCCCCCTCCCCTGTATGAATTAGCCGGAAATGCTAAGATTGACCACCAAATGTTGAATTTGTAAGACAGCTGCGCGCCATTGTCGCACACCTTCGACCGTGACAACGGCACATCTGTGATACTCGTGGGCTATCTAAAACAAAACCACTGAATATATCCTCATGATACATTGCAAGAGATATTGCCTTAAGACAAATATCTAGCATAAGAAAATTCAGCGTCCTCGACGCGCCGGGACAAATTTAGAACCCTATCCTCCAAGTGGAAGGCTTTTAGAGCATTCAATGCTGATTAGTAACGAGAAACCCAGCTCTATCTAAGTCAACCACAACCTAATCAAAAGTAATGAACTAGGGGAATATGTAGTGGTTTTTCAAAGGCAGTGTAGATCTGCCAAGGTTTGGGGCGGGGCTACAGAAAATTTGACCCATGAATAAGCCGCGCCGCAACTGTAATGGGAACCGGATTCTTCACATCAACGCAAAGTTAAGGGATCGTGTCGTACTGCTGCGACCAAGTCCTCGACACGATTTTCACCCTGCCGCCAGCGTAGGCGAGAGCGCAAAAGATGAAGCGGTTCAAACGGCTTGAAGTGATCCGAGTGCAAATGTCGTGCGCGAACCCATGTTATTACTTCTATCACTTTCCAGGGGCTATATGAACTGGTGTCAAATAAAAAACTCATCCAATACGAACCCAGCCACAGCTTCCTGGAATAAACAATGCAGTCCTTCCTTACTTTGTGACGCTATATGATAAAAGTTCACACAATGACCGATTGTGTGTACGGTAGCCCAGAATGCAGCAAACAGGGCTACAATCTGAAAATACGAAAAAGAAGATCATACAGCGATAAGAAATCGATTTTATAGTTCGACAAGTGCACAAACCTTGTGGAAACCGATAGCGGAATCGAACGGGATGAACTCGCCGAGAGGCGTTTCCCTGACGATTGTGATGACGTTACGGCAAACGGTCAGTAGCACGACACCAAGGCAAAACGATACTGCACCAGCGGCACCTCGGGTGATGGCAATCCCCACACCCATCACCCGATGCTGATCCAGATGTTGATTCTCGTACCGGTGAACTGAAAGCGTCCAGATTATTTGGGTTGAAATAAATTAAATAGAATGAACTGACATCGGAACCTCTCCAGGAAAATCATCAGATTCGTGCAGCAAAAGATGAACAGTATGAAGATGTGTTGGCGGTACGTGCCAGTGACAGCTGCGATCGTGCCAAAAACGCTGCGATGCACAGAATCGCCGCCGGTAGATGTGGGCACAGCGAATGAGTTTAGTGAAGCCGTTCTAAACAATTAATTTATGTATATTCTTGAGGGACCACTCCATGTAGAGGGAACGGGGTTGTGAAGCCATCTTCAGCGATAGATGAACTGTCTGCTATTGGGCCCAGAAATTAAACTATCCTCGAATAGTGGCACACTTGCGATGAAAGAAAGCACAAAAACGCTAAGAAGCCCTACTATCACTTTGCAGCTGCTCATGTGAACTGACTTTGCGCTTCGCCCCTATGACAGACCCGTTGATTCGCCCACTTCTTGAGGTATCCGACAGGAGGCCCGTCGCATGGCAAGAATTCAGGGACGCAAATTAGTCAGCGGACGAGTCGCAGCGCGTATTGTGCGAAATGAAACATACTTTGGTACACTCTATTTAACTTGACGCTAAGTCGCTACAGTACTCGCTGTGTCTCCGCTTTCTCGCCTCAAGACGGGCCTCCTGTCGGGTACACAGCTTCTCTAACCGTGTTCGACTTCACCATATCAAAAGAAGAGCTAATGAAACTCCATAGGGAAAGCTCTCAGGTGGACATGATGAAGATCACCAGTACAGATATTCCAGAGAGCTTTTCAAAAGACTCCCCATCCCCAAAAATGGCATGCGACTCTTGCTGAGGGAAGTACCCGTCAAACTCGACATCGTCTACTTTTGAATTTTATATAGAAAACTAGTTAATGAAACGTTCCTCGAAAGTTCTTAGAGATTTTTCTACTGTTATAATGTTTTTATGCTAGAGAAGTCATAGTTTGCTTAATTGTGTAAGAGTTTTCCCAAGGTAAAACGAAAAAAGCGCAGTGATAATGTACTATAAAAGTGCACAAATTAAGTGAATTATACGCATAAAATCTAGCAAACCCTCAATCGAGTTAAGAAGACGGACTTCACGTCGCCCATTCGCTTATCGCAAAGCACATCACTCAACAATTCCCATGAAATTGAATTCTTTGCAAAATGAGCAGCTATCAGCTTCAGTTGAGTAGGAAGTTGACGCGAACTCTGGAAAAACTCACTCCTCCAGTTTCATTTTGAGTTTTGCACCACGCAATTCCACACCAACAGGACGTCCCTTGCCGGCTTGTGCAAAAATCGCTTCAAAGTCCGCAGTTGTTAAATAATCAGAGTTAGGTTTCACTCCTGAAAAAAAAACCTGATCGAAAGGCAGGTTTTGCCAAGACTGACGCGTATTTGTGGGAGTATTTCTTGACGCAACTTTTCAAAGGAGGATTCACGATTAAGGACGAGAGGTGAACAGAGGAAACCCCCCCTAGTAAAGAGAACAGGACGGATCTGCCATCGATACAAACTCCACATTCGCGACATCAGATGTGCCCCGGCGATCTAGCATACCCTTCCAACCAACCCCAGTGGGTCGCTCCATTACGCCCGCACGCTACAATCTCGCTGTCTGAGCTTCTAGGTTCAAGAGAGAGAGAGAGAGAGAGAGCGTGTGGCGTTGAAGATGGCAGCATCGATAAGGAACGATCCAGTGCGGAAATCTATGGCAACGAAGTAGGTCCCATTTCTCGGCTTCTAACCATTTTTCTATGTTTTTCTTCTTCTTTCGGGCATCACTGACCATCACTAACTTATTTCCAACGGGCTGTCTTCATCGTAAAATCCCGCCCTGAAGACCCATAGCGAGTAAGGTAATACAGATGTAGACTGAATGCAGAGTTCAATAATTTGACCGGTCAACGAGGGTAAAAGTTTGCTTGCATGCTCTTCCTGAATATTCTGACCTTCGTCAGCTAAACAGAAAGCCAAGGCTACAAGTCAACTCGGCATTCAATCAGCCCCTCGTCATGAGATGCGCTACACATTCGACTTTCGTGCAAAGTCGTCGCAGCAGGTTTGGATCTGACCTGTACGATGGTATGCGGGGGCCAGCCGATGTACAAAAAAGTGTTTTCGCTATCACAGGCAAGTCTAGCACCAACTACTTGACTGAAGGAATGGAAGGCCTCGGCCGACCTGGGAAGGTGCTGCGATACTCGGATGATGCATCGTATGGCAGCACAACTAATAGTAAGTAAATAGCTAGATGATTCTGCCTCATAAAGTGAATCCATCAAAAGTGGTGATGCATAAAAGGGTTGGCTGATTACCTGATTGGTGCAAAATTTTGTTGATGACGTTGTTTTGGGTGTTGTCCGTGATGTCAACGCCGACGATGGCTTTGAGAGAGCGAATAAGGTCGACAAAATCACTGCGATGTACTTGACCAGTGCTGTTCACGTCACACATCAAGAAAAGAAGTTTGTACTTCTTCCTGCGTACTTCCTGAAAATACGAACGCTCTGTGTGTGGCATAAGAACACTTTTTCTCAATGAGCATTTTAAGTTAATAAATAGTATCAAAGTGTTTGTGAAATACCGACCACCGCCTCCTTCTATTTACAAGATTGGTAAGTTTGTTGAAGCTTTTTTGTAGTTAAATCCATCCGCGCTTCGGCCAAGGATCAACCGTCGCGTTGTGGTGACATCGAAATTTTGAGATCCCATCCCCTCTTAGGAGGCCTCGGTACGAGTTTTCCTTCACTGCGGGACTCGACAGAAGGCCCGTCGCGCGGCGAGAAGGCAGGGACGCAGACGGGTCAGCGGACGAGTCGCAGCGCGTACTGTAGCGATCAGCGTCAAGTTAAATATAATAGACTGTACTATAGTACGTCTCAATCGCACAGTACGCGCTGCGACTCGTCCGCCGATCCGTCTGCGTGTCTACCTTGGTTTGCTAAGAGAGGCAAGCATTATAGGCTTTAGACGTGACCGTGTGCGCGACGAACGCGGTTGGCGCGCACCGTAGCTCTTATCCCCTTGCGAAGGCTTACTAGACCTTAGAAAGAAAAGGCTGCAGTATGGAGTAAGGCTGTCTACACCAATTCATTAATTCTACCTAACTTTGTAGTTCCAACTTTTCGACATTTTTCCGGGGATGTTTTGTCGAAGCAGGGTTTTTGGTGATTGGATCGAGCCTGTGTTATCAAGGCGACGCTCAGGCCTCGTGCACCGAAGTGTGCTCTGAAAGTTGAAATTTTGACGGCGGGGGAGAAAATTCGGCGGCGCGGGACGAATAGCAGCGGAGCTGTCATCATGAGTCATCTCTTATCCTAGCGCAGAAGTGCTGCAACAGAAGCTACGTGTCTAGGCAATGAGCTGCAACTCCTGGTTTCGCCTTCGCACCGTTGCTATCACCATTTTTCGGCCTACACCCAGATACACATGCATTCCTTGAAGCACAGATACACAACAACGTTAGCAAGCTCGTGAACTTGCTG